TTGTGGTGAAAACATGTACAACAAGACATTTGCCAGCATAACAACTTCCACAGTTACAGCTCAGAGACATTAGTGACGTCTTTCATGTTGTGCCATCATTGTTACTAGTCTTCTCCAAAATATTCCACCACTATTAGCATAAACTCAATGCCCTGCAAACAAAAGTGTTCCCTTTCCCCCTCCCTCCTACCCCTGGTAACCACTAATAAAATTTGGTTTCTACACACACACACACATATTTTTTTCAACCTTTCTAGGAATTGTTCCTCCCCTTCCCTCCCATCCCTGGTAACCAACAAAGAAAGATTTCTTCCATGTATAAACCTTTCCTTGACTTTTTACAGTAGTGGACTAATAATAATGTTTGTCCTTCTGTGATTGACTTTTTTCACTGAGTATAGTATCCTCCAAGTTCATCCACATTATGCAATGTTTTGCAGATTCTACATTACTCTTTAGGGTTGCATAATATTCCATTGTGTGTATGTGTCACAGTTTGTTTATCCATTCCTTGGTTGATAGGCGCTTAGGTTGTTCCCATCTCCTTGCTATTGTGAATAGTGCTGTAATGAACATGGGTGTGCATATATCTGCTCATGAACTGCCTCTCCCTTCTTTAGAATATATACCTTGTAGTGGGATTATTGGGTCAAATGGTATTTCTGTCTCTAACTTTTTAAGGAAACACCATACCAATTTCCACACTTGTTGTATCCTTTGACAGTCCCACAGCAGTGTATGAGAGTCCCAATCTCTCCACATCCTAGGCAGCATTTGTTATTTTCTGCCTTGTTGAACTTTGCTATTAATGCTAGGGTGAGATGGTTGTTTTGATTTGCATCTCTCTGATGGCTAACAATCATGAACATTTCTTCATATGTTTGTTGGCTGCCTGAATATCTTCTTTGGTGAAGTGTCTGTTAATATCTTCTGTCCATTTTTTAATTGGATTATTTATCTTTTTGATGTTGAAGAGCTGAAGTTTTCTATACATTTTAGAAATAAGTCCTTTGTTAAATATTTCATTGCCAAATATTTTTTTCCCATTCTGTAGGTTCTTTTTTTAATCTTTTAGAGAAGTCTTTTGATGCACATAAAAATTTAATTTTTAGAAGGTCTCAATCATCTAGTGATGATTATCTTCTGCTGTTTGTGCTTCTTGGGTTATGCTTGATAGTCTATTTATGCCATAAATTAGGGCCCCTAAGTTTGCCCATGTTTTCCCTTTGATGAACTTTATAGTTTTAAGTTTCTCTATAAGATTTTCTTTTGGTGACTGATTTTTTGGAAGTAGATCATCAAGCCTTTCTTCCACAGTGCCTCTGGTAGACTCAAACCACCAGTCTTTCAGTTAGGAGCTGAGCACCTTAACTTTTTGCACCACCTAGGAAGCACCCACCTCCATGACTATCAAGTTGTTTCTGACTCATAGTGACCTCCACAGGGTTTCCAAGGCTGTAAATCTTTATGGAAGCAAACTTCCCCATCTTTCTCCCATGGAGTGGCCAGTGGGTTTGAACCACTGACCTTTTGGTTAGTAGCCCAATGCTTTAACGACAACGCCACCACAGCTCCTTCCTAGGAACCACAGGAGAGTGAAAAGCCCTAGTGAAGGGTTAAACCATGGGATCCTGAGTGAATAAGTTGACAACTCATGTTGCCCATCTGTCTTTGTCTGCCAGCTTCTCACAGGGCAGTTGTGAGAAGGACTCCCAGCTATACTGAGTTCACACATCCACTGGAGGAGGGGCTCAGAGACCCCTGGTGGTGTGGCTTAAAGAGAAAAGCTACCTTATTGTTAGAAAGGTGACAGCAGAAGTGGAGAACCAAATGCAGAGTACCGTGAGTGCTTGTAGGTCAAAGCCCATTGAGAATTGTGTTTTTGGTGGAGCTGATTCCTCCCTGAGCTGTTGCTTTGGGGAGTGTCTTGTGGCCCAGGGAGAAGGCAGGCATCCTGCATGTTCTGAGCTGCCTCCTTTCTTTGCCTGTGACACTCCTGGTTGCTCCTACACACATCTGTGCTTTGCCATTTACCGCTAGATGCCTGGCCTGTTTCAAACCCTTCCTTGGCCCCCTGTGTTTCAGCCCGAGAGGAAGTTTGGTGTGGTGGTCGTTGGCGTTGGCAGAGCCGGCTCCGTGCGAATAAGGGATTTGCAGGACCCACATGATTCCTCAACGTTTCTGAACCTGATTGGCTTCGTGTCCAGGTGGCTCAGCTTGCTTTGTGCCTCATAATTCCTGGGAATCCCAGTGAGACATGGGGATCTCCCAGGCCCAAGGGAAGGCTGACAGGTCCAGCCTCATCCCATAGAATTGTGTTTAGGGTCAGCTCCAAGGACCTCAAGCTTGGGTGGATCTGGGGCTGATGAGGGCTAGACCAGAGGCTGGGGTGTGTAGAGCTCATCTGGGGATCTACAAAGGCAGAGGGGGGAAGATGAGCATGGGGTCTGACACTGTGGATGTTGGGTGGATTAATTTGAAATAAGGTTTGTTACAGCATGTTAAATGAGTCATCATAATAGCATCCCTATGCAGATTCATCATTCTATCCTGTACCTATTTGACATAGGTACAATAACCACTTGTTTCACAGGTAAGGAAAATGAGCCACAGAGATGTTAAGTAACTTGCCCCAGGCCACACAGATGGACAGTTTAAAAGGCCATCTTTTTTTAAACACTCTGTGTTCTCTTCCCATTGAGAATTTTAAGCTCTGTTTTTGTTTTTGTTTTGTTTTTTCAGGCTCCATCCCCTATGACTCAGTCAAAACTGAACTTACCACCTTTTTCTTCTTCCTTGCCCCACTCTTAACTCCTGCACACACACACACACACACAGCTCACCAAATTAGCCTCTGTTACATAGTCATAAGTATTTACTGTGCACTAGGTTCACTATAAGTTGGAGTTGACTTGAAGGCACACATATACACACACACACACACAAAAAAAAAAAAAAAACAGGTTCAAACACTGCTGGGTTTGCAGATGGGGCAGTGACCAAGTAAGCTGAGTATGTCTCTGTTCTGTTGCATTAAAAAACCCATTGCCAGTGAGTCTTCTGATTCTTAATGATCCTGTAGGTCAGAATAGAACTGCCCCCATAGGGTCTCCAAGGTTATAATCTTTTGGAAGCAGAGTACCACATCTTTCTCCCGAGGAGCAGCTGGTGGGTTCAAGCCACCAGCCTTTCAGTTAGCAGTCAAGCACTTAACCATTGAGCCACTAGGACTCCTTCTGTTGCTTTAGAGACATTAAATAATGCTTACCCTTAAGTAACTGCTGTGATGGTCCATACTGAAGTTATATTTATATATATATTTTATATTTATATATATATTTATATATATATTATATTTTAATTCATGGAAGCACTTTCTTCCAGTTTGCCTGTCTCAAAAGCCTGATCCCTCTTTTAAAGGGTGGGTTGGAGCATCAGTGAAACCAGAAGTATTGGGCTCCACCCAGCCAGTCTTTCCTTCTCTGTAAGATTCCCAAGGGAGCTACACACACACACAGACACACACACACAGACACACACACACAGGAACTGTGGCAAGTGAGAGAGCAGTCATTGTTAGCCAGCCCTGTAAGTGGTGCCAACTTAAACCTGGGCTCAAGGCTGAAGTGGGACCTCACCTTTTCCCTTAAGTATCAGTCCTCTACCAAGTGTTTGTCAAGAGCAATGCAGTGGGCACCCCAAAACCATCCAGATCACAGGGAGAGAGGGGAGAAAAGGGCTAGAAGGCCAGCTCATAGCCCAGCTTTACTGCACTCACCCTTACCGTTCCTAACATTGCTTTCCTCCTTCATGTCTCTACTCGCCAGAACCTATCTACAACCTGCCCCCTCCCCTCACCCTGGGAGCCTTTGCTAGACTGGATGTGTTCCTTGCCTTCTCTGAGCCTTCATACCTACCACCCAGCACATTTCTTATATTAGTCTTGTATTACTGTTTGTGTGTGTTACTCTCACTCCCAGACTGTGAGTACATTGGAAGGGTAGAATTTGAATTCCTTCACCATTCATCCCCTCTACAATACCTTACACACAGTAGACAAACAATAAGCCTTGGTCAAATCAAGCAGCCCCATAGGGAGCAAACCTGAACATCTCCTGTTCCTGCCTTCCTACAGCTGGGAAGGGTGATAGCTGGGGTTTGCCTCGGGACAGAGGTGGGACATCCACCCTCGCTGCTCTCCCTTCCCTTCCCACACTCACACACGCTCTCTAGTACCCCTGAGGATGCCCTTTGTCAGAGGCTGGAGTGCTGAGAGCTGGCCAAGAGCCTCCTGCTGGCTGCCTATACTCCTTGGTAATGTCCACCTCTCAGAGAGTGTTCCTCTGTACTGGGGCAGCGTGCAGACTCCCACAGCTAGACTCTCCTAAAGCAGTAGCTCCTGACTCTGCAGTAGTTAGAGAAGCTGAGCTCTGCTCCTGCCTCTGCTGGTGGTTAGCATGGGGCAGCCACTGCCTCTCTGGACATGGTCAGCTCAGAAGGAGGCAGTGATGCACTTCTGCTTGGCCATTCTGTATGGAGTGGCACGGCAGTTTGCATACCTAAGGTGTTCCTCTGTTGCACTTGGGTTAGCTTTGGTAATTATAGTGTTTGACCAAGTGATTGGAGGTAGAAGCAACTGTAGAGAATACTACTCATAAGATAAAGAGATCTGTGCTTTTTGTTTTATTGGTGAAGGAACTCAAGACTTCCAGAACACCAGGTCATACAGCCTGTTAGTGACAGTGCCAGCACTTACGTGCCCAGTTTCCTGACTCTTACTCAAGTCCATTTTCCTCACACCATCGGGGGAAATACTCTGGATATGGGAGGGAAAAGATAAACATTTTTTATTTCCAAAAGTTGATCATTGGGACATTATTGGACAGAAGGAGAACATTTATTCTAAGCCAATCTTCAGCCTGCTTTTGAGTTCAGTTTCTGTGTTGTTGTCAAATAGACGAGAGCTTGGGACCATTGATGAAGTCCAGCAGATCTCTCTGGAAGATGCTCTTTCCAGCCAAGAGGTTGACGTGGCCTATATCTGCAGCGAAAGTTCCAGCCATGAGGGCTACATCAGGTGTGTTTCAATGCAGGCAGGCCTCACTTTACATAGTTGCGCAAGACTGTGAAAATTCTGGTTAAGCTGAAACTGCACACAGTGATCTCTGTCAGTGGGGAAAAGTACAGTGGGTCCGTTAGCTTCAAAAAATTCTGACAAAACATTAAGAACTCTCTTACTGTCAGTTAGTTATAAATGTATAAGGAAATATGAAAAATAGTAAAACTAGTTATTTGTTTTTGTATTATTAGCTGACTCATGGTGACCCCATGCATGAGATCAGACCATTGTAACCCACAGGGTTTTCATTTGCTGATTCTCAGAAATCACCAGGATATTTTTCCTAGTCTGTGCTAGTCTTGAAGCTCTGCCTAAACCTGTTCAGCTTTACAGCAACACTGAAGCCTCCACAATAGGTGGTGGCTGCATATGAAGTGCATTGGCCAGAAATCGAATTCTGGGTTTCCTACATGGAAGGCCACTCCTCGGAAGGAAGGTTGGGCAGTCTACCTCTATAGTGATCCTACCTCAGAAACCAAAGGAGGGATCATATGAGTCGGATTGGACTCGACGGCAGTGGGTCTGTCTGTGTGTGTGTGTACATAGAAGGCAGAACTCCCACTGAACTATCACTGCCCTCTAATATTTATTTAGTACACTGTAATTTAATGCACTTCAAACATTAAAAATTAAAGTGTTCTATAAAACACTTAACAATAGTAATTTGAACTGTGCTTGCTTCCTTCTCATCACATAACTTAGGACACAAAGCAAGCATGTTTTCTGTGCCTTGGCAGATTGTCATACATCTAAGTACGAGCTGCTTCCAACGTTTTACCTTCTGCATTTTCAATATTGTGAAATATCTCTGAGAGCTCCCTTAATGTAAAGGTGTTTTTTTTTTTTTTTGCCATGAGATGAGTTAATGAGGAAATAGTAGTGGAATCAAAGAGGGAAAATGACATTGCATATGGAGCAGGGGAGAAGGTTAGAAGTATCCCCCTGCCCCTGCCCTACTGTGAGCCCTTCAAACGTTTGGTAGGACTTAGAGGGAAGAAGCCTCAGCAGCATGGGACTGCTGACAGAGCAATAGCTTTCCTTCTAGATTCCTAAACTTAACTGTAGTCATCCTGCCCTCTTTATTACTCCAGCTCCATTGTGGACATAAGTGCCTTTGCTTGGAGCCCCTTAACCTTCTCAGGAAGCAGTGTTTTTCTCTAAAAATGAAAGGCATCCCATAACGTTATGCTTTTAAATGTTTGTACCCTACTATCTATAGAATGGAATCCCTGAGTGATACAAATGGTTAACATGCTAGGCTGCTAACCAGAAAGTTGAAGGTTTGCATCTACCCAGAGGTGCCTCAGAAGAAAGACTGGTGATCTACTTCCAAAAAGTCAGCCATTGAAAACCCCATGATTTGCTTAAAAAAAAAAACGTTATATTTATTTTCTTGAAATGTATAAAATTTTTGTAGAAGTTGAGCACGTAATTGAAACTCATAGCTCTACATTATTTTAAATTGTGGCTATGGGGATGAATATGAAAGAAGAAGTAAACACTAAATGCAACTAAATTTCATGTACATTTCTATAAGAATTTTTTCTTAAATGTCATACATCTAGCAATTCTTAAATCCAATAAAATCCAAATATGTATATATAATAAAAAAAACTCTGTGGAACACAGTTCTACTCCGACATGTATGGGTCAGAGTCAACTCAATGACAACTGGTACTTGTTATCTATAGAATAAAATCCAAACCTCTCAACATGGCATTCTAGTTCCTTTACAGTCAGTCTCCCACCTACTTTTCCAAGCTCATTTCCCCTCAGTCCCTGTAGCTCACTCCTTTGCTATGCGAAATTCACACCATCTCCCAAATGAGCAAAGCCCTGTAAAATGGCCTTCCTCCTGCACATGCTACTCAAAGTGAAATACCCTTCATCCTGTTGTACCTGGAAAACTCCTATTCATACTTCCAGACCCAGTTCAGATGTCCTTAGTGAAATATAAAAATATTTGTATCTTTATATACTTCAGGGCAAGTAAGCTGCCATAAGACTTTATTTATAGTTATCATGTGGTATTGTAATTTACTTGTTCATGCATCTTTATTTCTCCATTAATACATAACTAGAAAGTCATTCTCTCACAAGAATAATACAAATAAAAATATTTCTATTTTTATTTCATTTGTTATTTCTATTACAAATGAAAAATAATCTGAGAGACTTCCTTCATATTCTTTGCCACTGAGCCTGACCTCCATTTTGCATGACACAGTTGTACTCAAAGGGGTGTAGTAGGCATTTGTAAAATTCTGTTCTCTGTCATGCAAGGCATTTTATTGACACTTATTTGAAGTATACTTTTCCTGTATTTACCTGTTTTTCCAAAGGCAGTTCCTAAATGCAGGTAAACATGTCCTTGTGGAGTACCCCATGGCACTGTCTCAAGCAGCAGCTCGAGAACTCTGGGAGCTGGCTGAGCAGAAAGGTAGTGTATATTCTGTCTGTCTGCAATATAGACCCTCTCCTGTCTCTAGGGTTTTTGTGGTACCATCTTCTACCCCTTTAAAACTTAACTCCTGTTTCACATATGCTGCCCTGGCTATGCTGGATATATGGGGCTATACAGCCCCCTCCACTTCCTTCTCAACACCCCTACTCCCATACTGAGGACACACATGCATGCTGGGTGGGAGTGGTAGGGGGAAGGGAATGGCAATTTGCATACCTATGTTCTTTTACTCTGATGAAACATATGCGTTAGCTTCTACCTACACTATCATCTTAATATTATTTTGCTTTTATTTATGTGATATCTGCATTGCTAATGAATAATGCCTAAATCAAAGTAACTGACTGTTTTATATGCATACTTCATAGTTTCTCAAGAAGAATAATCATTTATTAAACATTCACTATATGCCAGGAATTAGAAACTTCACTAAGCATATCATATAAGTTATTTATTTAAATATCCTAGAAATCCTTGGTGGGAGCTCTGGTGGCATAGTGCCTGTGATAGGCTGGGTTCTCTAGAGAAACAAAAACCAGTGATGCTTATATATATAGAAAGAGAAATTTATTTTAGGAAAATGGCTCACACACTTACAGAAGCTGGCAAGTCCCAAGCTCTTGGATCAAACATCAAGCTGGAGGCTTTTCCCGACTCACACAGCTGCTGGGGCTGAGGAGCCCAAGGTTGGCAGGCAGTATACTGGCTGTTGTCTCCAAGGAATGATGAATCCAAGATCTCCAGGACGAATGGTGGATTGTTTGCTCATGAACAGTTGTAGGCAGAATCCTAATCCACAGCAGAATGTCTCTTTTCCCAGGATCTCCATAAATATACTGGAAGCAGGCCACACCCCTAGGGAAACTCCCTTTAATCAGATTGGCTGCTCAAAGCATACACATCTGATCCCATCATTGAAACAACCCATATCACAATTGCTTAAACGACACAGAATTGTGGTCCAGCCAAGTTGATACAAAGCTCCAACTATCACAGTCCATCCCTTGTCAGCTTGGCAGTTGTACACATCCCCTTAACCATATATAATCTCTAAATAAGGACAGTTATAAAGTCATATTTGCGCCTAACATGTTACGCTAACATACGTAACCAAAACGCATTAACCTTATTTATATTTCACAGTTCATAACAGAGGAAAACAAAAATATTTGATGCACATATACAATGAAGAAATATAACAATCACAGTCCTTGTTTCTGCAACTGGTCATATGGTCGTAGCTGATATTCAGAACTACCTTCTTCCACCACCCATTCTATATTTCCCTTGCCCTCAGCAAGCACCTCAGCTGGTCATGGTTCTTTGCCTGGTAAGGTGACCCAAACCTTCATTCCTGAAGGGTCTGGGCCATTAGCAGTCATATCAGAATTGGGTTGCTGTAATTTTCCATTGACTTTAATCACAGGGCATGGTAGTACTAAGAGACATCCTAAAGAATCTCCTGTATTCCAGACATATTCTTCTTTACCTCCATTATGTAATGTCAATCCAATTTCCCCTTAGTAATCAGGATCTATCACACCAGATAGTACAGTAATGCCCTTCGTTGTCTGTTGATCCAGATGCATGAGGCAGCCAAAATGGCTGGTGGCATTCTTAACTTCCAGTTCAGTGCAGTCAGTATTGTGTCTCAAGGTGGGAGTATTCCTCCCTTTGGGACTAAGATCTCCAGACCCACAGGGCATAGCATAGCAGGGACAGGAAGCAAAAATTTTTTGAGTGAGTCACAAGGGGACAGTGAGTGGTACCACTCCTGTTTCCGCTCCTTGGTCCCTGGACCTGTGAATCCTGGCTATTGGAGAAACAGCACCATATATTGGACACTGGTGTAGAGCATATACAGCCTCCTAGAAAACACTGCCCCAACCCTTCAAGGTATTGCCACCTAGCTGGCCCCATAATTATGTTTTCAGTAGGCCATTCCATCGTTCTATCAAGCCAGCTGCTTCAAGATGATGGGGAACATGGTAAGACCAGTGAATTCCATGAGCATAGACCCATTGCCAGGAGCTCTGGTAGCTTAGTGCCTAAGGCACTTGACTGCTAACCAGAAGGCTGGCTGTTCAAACCCACAGCCACTCCTCGGAAGGAAGATGGGGCAATCTACTTCCATAGTGATACTGCCTTGAAACCCAAGGAGGGGTCTCTGAGTCGGGTCTAACTCAACAGCACAAAACAACAACAGGCCCATTGCCACACTTCATTTGCTGTGAAGTAAGTCCCTTGATCTGAAACAGTGTTGTGTGGGATATCATGACAGTGGATAAGGCATTCTGTAAATCCTCAGTGGTAGTTTTGGCAGAAGCATTGTGTGTAGGGAAAGCGAATCCATATCCAGAATAAGCATGTATTCCAGTAAGAACAAAATGCTATCCTTTCCATGGTGGAAGTGGTCCAATATAATCAACCTGCCACCAGGTTGCTGGCTGATCACCCCAAGGAATGGTTTCATATCGTGGACTCAGTGTTGGTCTCTGCTGCTGGCAGAGTGGGCACTTAGTGGTGAAAGTAGTAAATCTGCCTTGGTAAGTGGGGGTCCATGTTACTGAGCCCATGCATAACCTCCATCCCTGCCACCATGACTACTTTGTTCATGAGCCCATTGAGCAATGACAGGAGTAGCTGGGGAAAAAGGATGGCTGGTTTCCACTGAACATGTCATCCTATCCACCTGATTGTTAAAGTCCTCCTCTGCTGAGGTCACCTTCTGGTGTGCATTCGCATGAGACACAAATATCTTTACTCCTTTGGCCCAGTCAGAGAGATCTATTCAC